GGTTTGCACTGCTCTATCCCATACAGGAGGACATATAGGCTGTATTGCTATGGGGTACCTTTGCAAAACTTAGCTAAATTCAGGTTAGCAGTTGTGCTAGCATAGTTATTTTAGAGAACAGTTGTATTCTGTGTACAGTTTTAAGTGACAAAAAGATTACACAGAGTTGTGTGGATCAGTGCAGTCATTGGAATGTAACAGTGTTTTCTTACCTGTATTAGCTGAACATGAAATCGAGGTTTTTCTTTCTGCCTTCCTAGGAACATTTGCCCCACTCAGAGTGCTGATGCCATCCCCCAGCATGCCGTGAAATAGTCTAATAGCCTGGCACACAAAAGAAAGGGGAACAAAGTTTTTATTTCATGAAAATGTGGTAAGTGACTGAATTACAAATAGGAGCTGTCATAAGAGAAGGAAGATAGCTTCTGAAATATTTTTAAATCACATGTAGAAAAACACTATGCTCTGGAACTGAATGTCACTTTCATTTTGGCTATTTTGATGGCTCCTCTACTTTAGAAAGTTCAGAATTCCTGTCATGTCGGTGAACTGATTTTTCCTGTTTTCTTTTAGGTTCACTTGTCCCAGTGTGTCCAGTTGAATCATTCAAATTTGTGTTGAAACCTAACAGACAAGCGACAGGAAGTTTATGAGCCTCAGGGAGACTTGTCCTAGCAATTCTTAGGCAGTGTGAGCAGCTCACTGTACCTTCAGGTCACATTATTTATTGATTTTATTTAAAATGTTGTTTCATAGAAATAACCTTACAAGGTGCACAATAGATTTTCTTAGGGCTTGAATAGGCATCAATATGATGCAAATCAAAATGATACAACAGCGGTATGTTGTATACACAGCAAAGTTATTAATATAAACAAATCATTTTAAAGTAACCTAAGTGTGTGGTGTTTGAAAGCCAAACTGTGAATGAATTACTGTTTCTATTTCTGCTTAAGAGAAAGACAAAGTACCACTAAATATATATATATGTATGTATATACAAAAAAAAAAAATAAATAAGAAATGCAAATCTAAAACAAATTTAGTTTGTTACTGCTAGACCAATTATTCTGGGTTTTACAAATTTTATCTTTTTTTTTTTTTTTTTTTTTTTTTTTTTTTAATTTTGAGTTCTCTGTAAGAAAGACAGGAGACACTGAGCATAGATGCAAGCTTCCAGAGGCTCTGTGGCTCAGTGATCTCTGACTGATAGATGGTGGTAAATCTTGCTGCAGCCTCTAAGAAGATACCGTTTCCAATCTTTCACCCTCATACTTCGCTGGAAGTTACCCTCTGTGTAGTAAATCTGACAGTAGTGGACATTTGCATGAAATTTTGCTACTTTTTCCCAAGGTCCATTCAGTTCAACACTAAGTGTTGAACTGAAATGGCTGAGGCACAGAAGTGGTCCTTTCCACTAACTCTGCCATGGGTAGTAGCTTCAGGCAAAGAGATGAGAATTAAAAAGCTGGAGAATTACTGGCTTTTGAATTCTTATGATTGTGGGCTTCAGGGATATGAGTCAATGCCTCTGAATGTTATGAACAATAACATTAAATATTTCTCTGATTTAGAATTGACACCATCATAGGGTCCTTATCCTGACATGATATCTTGTTATTCAGCTTGAGGAGGGCAAGTTAGTGGAGTTGTAACACCTTAGATTGGAGTGGTGGTGGATTCATGTGAAGTTTGTATTTCTTATTATTTTTAGAGAGAAGCAATCTCAATTAGAACATTGTCTTTTAAGCACTGATTTTATGCATCAACCCAGCATTTGCAAACAAGTACCGTAACAGTAGGTCAAAGTGTTGATACAACACTAGTGTAAATCTTATCATAAATAAGTTGGGTTTGGGTGGCTGTCCAGTTTTCTTTTGTTATGAATTTTGCAATGCCATGTTTTGGTCCTGGTTGGAAATTCTATTTACTCATGGGTTGTTTTTCGTGTTTGTTTGTTTGTTTGTTTGTTTGCTTCATTGTTGTTTGTTTGTTTTTGCAAATTTCCTGTACTGAGAAAAGAAAAAAAAATACAGTGGCTAACATAATAAATACTTCTTTCTTACTGGCTCAAAAAGCAGTTTAGAGCATACAGCTTGTTGCTGTCCAAAGTATGATCAGGCACTGAAAACTGTAGAGTTAGTCTTAGAACTGAGGAAAATTCTCCTTAGAAACTGTTTTTAGTAAGCTGAATACATTATACTTTTAAAAATATGTATATACATGAACATATAATTGAGATGGATGTACAGGTGGTATGCTTCAAGAAAGACGTAGAAAAAGAGATTAAGTTTAAATGTGTATTTAAAAGTGGGGTTTTAGAAATGGTTGCTTTTCTTACATTCAAATTCAGGTGTTTTGTGAAGTTAAATAGGATTCAGTTGTTTGAGGATTACTTTGTGTACTACTTGGATTTAAATCACAGGGCATTTCAGATCAGCTACTGTGTTCAAAACAGCTGCTGTTAAAGGATTTATAGAAGATATTGCTTCCAGGGTATTAGTATAGCAGGTCTTCTTCTAGCTGAATTTGAAGTGCAATGCAAATTTTATATTGTCCTTGTCAAATGTATATCTTTGGTTTTTTGAGCAGTCTTGATCTGCTGTTTAAAGGTATTTACAAGTTCAAGAAAATGGCAGTTAGAATATTTAAAACAGAGGAACATAAGAGTTAAATGGTGTGAAACCACGCTTTCTGTGTAATATCATTGTATAGGAGGAAAAATGTCTCTATAGTGAAAAAGGGATCCAGAATTATCCATTCAGTGCTTTAGATCCAAAGGAAATCCACAGATGATATTTCACTGAGGGTATTGTTAATGTCTTGGGCTATCATTATGTAGCATTTTTCCAACGGGATGAAAAGAACATGGAGTATTTTTGAGGGGAGAAAGAGAAGATTTTGTTAAGCTTTTTAAACAAAATCAAATTTAAAAAAAAAAAAAAAGAGAGAGAAATATGCGTACAGTATTTCACCCACAAACAGATGGCCAAACATAACAAATCAATAGTATGTAAATAACAATGTTAAGAAGATCTGTTGCAATGCATGAAAAATGACTTGCTTCTCGGCTGCTACATTCATACAGACTAAACCTTCACAGAAGATAGCAGGATATAAGTTTTTGTTTTGTTTTTTTTTTTTTTTCTTTCAGAGACAGATGTAGTGGCTCAAAGTTGCCGCTTTCATTTACAGGTCCATTTTTATAAGCTGCAGAACCAACAGATGCACTTTAAACCTTAAAAACACAGTGGCTAGGAAATACATAGTGCTGGAAGGTCTGAAAGCCAGAAGCAGCAGAAGGAAGTGCTGCTCTGTTTTCACAAGGACTGTGAATTCCCTGCACTTATGTAAGTCCACAGCAGTGAAGTTACGACAATGACTCCTAACAATGTGAGCAGAATTATTTCAGGAACCAGACTGTGGAGTAGTGAACTAATTGTTGTGTGATGGCGAATCATTACAAAATTGGTACAAACATGTGTTTTCCTATTTAAATCCACATGAAAAGCATCAGTCCAGATTGTATCATAGTGTGGCATTCCTGGATGTATAATTAGTTCAGTTCTTTCAAGACCTTCAGTGATTTTTCAGGTGTGTTGCAAGTACTGTAATTAGTATTCTAAGAAATATTTTCCCCCTAAACTATGCTCATTCAAGTGACAGTAATGGAGTATCTGGTCATAATGCTAAAACAGGATTATGCAAGTGACCTGACTTGTGACCTCAGGTTATTAACTCTATACCTCTCTCTGACCAACTTCCCTCTATGGAGTATAAATGTTGATGTTTTACTTATCTCCTTTAGTAAAGTATTTCGAGTTCCTTGGATAAGAGACTGTTTAGCCTAGTTTGTATACAGCATTGGACAAAAAATACAAAATAGAAAATGGGCATAGAAAGCTCAGCTTTAAAGATTCTGCTGCCTGTTATTTAAGAGGAATCAGAAGAAAGTACTCCACTCTTCTGAAAATAATAAGATATTATAGAGAGTGTTGATAATTTATACACTTTTAAATTAGGATTTTAGAAATGTTAACTTGTTTTTAGAAAAAAAAAAGTTTGAGAAAAAAACAAGATTGAGAAATCTGGTAGTCTAAAAAGATTGCTTTTTGTGCAAATGATATGAAAAAGTTTTTGAATGTTATGTAAAATCAAACTTAGTAAAATAGTAAACATTTCTGATAAAAAGAATGTTTTGATTGTTTTTCCCTATTGTTCTTTGCTGCTAACGTAATGTGATTTTCTGGGTGTCTTGACTATTATTCCCGCTCTTTATCAGGATCAGATAAAGTATTTTCTACTTTGAGATTTCTGTAAAGAACTACTTGTAGTTCTCTTTTCCCAAAGTTGAGTAAAATAGCCCAATATCTGTGCATCTCACCATTTTTAAAGTATATTTTTTCTGACCTCATACTTCTTAAAATCATGTGAAACAATGTGTGGGAATATGCTTTTGGGGATTTTCATTAAATATTGCCATGTCTCTTAAAAGGCAAATTTCTGGCTTAATTTGCAGTTACGTGGTTATGTCAATGATGTAAGAGCAAAATCATGTCAGGAATATTGTAAGCAACCCAAACACTTCTAAACTTGAATGTTCAGAAAACGGGTCTAAAACTGAAATGTTAAGGTGTTTAAACAGTCTTTATCTTATTCTGTGGTTTTAGGATGGGGAGGAGGAAAGATAGAAAATTGCATTGTATTAAATATCTTTAATACAAAGTAAGAGAAAAACATAATTTTCATGCATTTCATACAGTTATATCATTCATACTTTTTATTGCATAGATTAAGTTTGTTTAGATGCTATAAATTTATTAAGCTGGACCAATATTTTAAAAAGTCACAGAAAAAAGAAAATGGGCACTTTTGGACAGATCACAGAAAAAATGATCATCTCTAAGCATGTTAAGGTGGCTGCTTTCTGTGTGGAATGTTGGCTCCTGAAATTACAACAAAATTTTCCTCATGTTTCCTTCCTTCTCCTTTTCCTTAAGGATCACGCTGTCTTTCACAGGATGTAAAGCCTCCTGAAATTGCTATTCTGTCAGTGTTGCCTCTCTTAATCCTAAAACATTTCATCATGGAAGTACTGTGGAAGTACATGGGTAAGTAGCAATTAAAAGGTGTACCTGAGTTTCCAATGTAAACAGAAGAGTAATACAATGAGTACATTGTTTTGAAATAGGCAGTGAAATACTCTTTCAAATTTGTCAACTTAATATTTCAGAACAAATCATGAAGCCGTAGCAAATACATTTATACTGTTTTCTCAGTTGCGATACCACATAGCTTCATTGCTAAATCTGATTCAATTCCTTTACTTAGTTCCTTCAACTCTGATCTGTCTTTGGGTGAGACTTTCCCTTGTTTACATTATCTTTTCACACTTTACCAGTCTTCCTCAACTCAAAGAGGTGAAAATGTGTTACAGGTCATTAGTATGGTTAATCTCAAAGTACTTGTGCAAGTACAAAGGTACATTGCAAGCTCTATCAGAATGAACTATTTTCCCCTGTACATTATGAAATCATAGTAGCAAACTCAGAATTCTGGTGCTAGCAGATTCTTTCGTATTGCCTGTTTGACTTCACCGTGTGAAACTTAAATTAACTCCACAGTGCCATAGCAGAAATTGTTTTGCCCAAAAGAGTGCAGTCATCTGGGTTCATGAGAAGGGTGTTGGCTGTTTGCTTAAAAAGAACAAAGCTGGTGGAGGAAAATTGAATTAACAGTATATGCATCAGTACAGCAGTTTCATAATGAAAATAACTGATAATATTTACATTTAAAGTGCAGAGTGTGGCAAATACAATAGCAGTCTGGATACATTAATTTTATATGAAGAAAAACAGAAACATTTTATTACTTGGACAACTTAATAAGGAACATTTTCTGGTGACAAGCTGGTTAATAAGAGCAGGCAGTCAGAACTGAATGTGCTTAGAGAGCAAATAGTAGTTTTTAATCCTATATGTTCAATTATAAATTCTGTTTTTCTGCACCTTGGAAAATGAGAAAGCATCCAGTTGCTACTGTGAAGTATTCCCTCTCCTTTCTTTTCCCCTTCCCCCTTTCTTTTAACACCACTTGATCACATTCCTATTGCAGGATCAATTTACAGTTTTCTCAGCTCTAAATTAGGGGAGCAATTCAGGATTTAGTTTTGTTTTGTTTTGTTTTTCTTACCAGATTTGGGGATTGTCTTCTTGTGGTTCTGACTCTTTATTCATTCTTGTCCTTTTTTTTTTTTTAAACTTAATATTGTTCCCGTTGCTGTACACTTGCTTCACATCCTCCCTCTTTGGCGGCCTGATACATGACTGCTCATGATTATCATCTCTAATAAGGAAATACCTACACTAACAAATAGTTGACCTCTGTAAACATGGCTTAATATCAAATTTTGCATGTTAAGAAAAAGTAATTTATTATGTTAGTTATAGGGAAAATGTCATAGGAAGATCTTAGTACTGAGCTTGCTAAAAATGCTGCTTACTCTAAATGAATAATGGTTCTTACATATCAATACTGATATTGTTATCGCAATAATCTATAAGATTAATTTTCACGATGAGTTACTATTTGGAGTTTTCCTTACTTAGAAGCTGATTTAATGTTTTTCTGGAAAAGCATGTTTTTCAGCTATTAGTAGATCTCTTCTATCTGAATTACAATAACATCCACAATGCGAGTGGCACATTCCAAGCATAAAATGATACATCGTTTGCTCAGAGAGTTTATGATCCGTATTACTGAATCAGTGGAGTTATGCCAGGTTATGCCATCTGAAGATTTGGCCCCCAGTAGTACACAATATTCTGTTTTCAAGGACCATTACTCAAATAGAGTAACCTCATCATGCTGAAGGCCAAATGTATGCTGCACCAAACTTCAGCACAATAATTTCTTTTTTGTAATTGTTGTGATAGAAAACAAACATGCAGCAGGTAGGTGAGTAGTATAAATTTTATTTGAAATTTCTTCTTCTCACTTCTAGAAGATATGCCTGAGGGTCCTGTGAAAGTAAGACAAGTGACTTTCAAAGTGAAAGATGATTTTGTTTGTTTGGAATGCTTACGTTAATATTTCTAATTTTACTGATGACAATTTTGATGCCATCGTTAAATAACACTAATTGCCAAGTTTTGATTGGCCAGAATTTAAATACTGACATGGAGGCACCCAAGTACCTCTGGCTGTCTATGGCATCCTAATGCCTGCTGTGTGATGGCTTTGGGGTTAAGATTGTGTCATTTGTTTCACTAATATTACCAGAAAAAAATCATAAATGAGGGAATGGAGGAGTGCTTAAAATTAAAATAGAGATGAACAATACTTGGCATTGCTAAGTCTAAACAATGCAGAAAGATTTCTTCAGTTTTCTTTTATATTTCTTTGATATTAACACACACAGTGGCAGTAAAAGCGATAACAAGTACATTTTTGGTGACTTAGCACTCAAAAATATTCCAATGAGCAAAGATTTTGTGGATAAAAAAGATTTTCTGGGACTTTACAAAGAATGAAAAGCGTTACACTTGATAATGACATGGGCTAGCTGAAAGTAGTATAATACAGAGTAAATTCTACTGCTTTGTATCTATGGATAAAAATAGATTTGAATTTAAAAAGTTATTACTTATATAGAGCTTATTATTACCTATATACATTCACAAGGTTAGACATGACCTAAAATCCCAGTTTTAGGGATGACCTAAAAAATCCTGCGGTTTCTGAAACATAGGGCAGTCATTTGCAGTCAGGGGAGAGCTCAGGTGATCAGCTGTGCTTGGTGCCTGCCCTTTCCATCCACTCCAACAGTACTCATGCCTTGCTCAAGAAACTTGCTTAAATCTTGCAGGCATTCAGCCTGTGCACTAAAGTCATTTCATTGCCTCATGCCAGGCCACATTATTGCAACTTAAAAAGTTAATTAAAACTAATCCATGGAGTTGCAATCTGCCTTTCTGTGGGTGCTACTTAAACACTACAGCCATCATTTAACAGATAGACAGTCAAATATGTTGAGCCCAGGAGAATGTGCATGTAAGAATGTGCGTGTGTTCAGGCTGTGCATGTGAAAAGCTTCGTGGAAAAAAAATGCATTATTTTATTGGGAGACTGATGTTCTTTGAGATCATTAAAGTAATAGTAAATCAAATATAGACAAATAATTTGGGGATATTTAAGGTGAATTAATGAATGGTTTCTAAGATTTTCAAATTTATTTTAATTTAGTCTTCATTTTACTTATCTGTACTAGATGTTTACTTTACTGTTCTAGATGTTTTTGTGACTGTGTTACCTAAATAAGTGGTTAAGAATATAGTGCATATTGTAAGTTTATTTTAAAACTATCTGATACTCCAATAACAGAATTCCTAGGATGGCTTTGGAAGATACAAGATGAGAAAATAAAATGGATATTTTTAGGGGAGCTTAACCCAACTGGCAGTAACTTGAGATGGAGTAAGTTGTTCATCTGTATCTCCTATCACACTTACTCTGTTGCCAGGATGTCAGCTGGTTAAAGTGCAAAGTGAAAATCTAGTTCCCTGATACTGCAATGACAGTATAAGTAGTTTCTTTCTGTGACTGTATCTTCCATTGCTGAGCCCCTGAAAATTGCTTGTGAGGTGTGAAGTGCATCAAATCAGATCAGGGAAGTGATTTAGATTTAAAAATAAATAAATAAATAAGTTGAGGAGGGAAAAGTTGTATTTTTAATCTTGTTTTGTTCCCTGGCCTGGTCCTACAGCCCTGACAATGGCTGTGTGCATGCAGCATAGTGCAGAACAGGGTGAGAAAGGAGCAAGCATTGGAGAGGGGCAGGAACAGGAGGCATTGAACACATCGTGTATTGAACTGTTCTCCGGACACTGAGCATCTGAGGTCAGGAGTACCATCAGAAAAGCGATACAAGGTTTGGGAGACAATAGGTTGGCAGGTGCAATTAGAAAAGCCAGTAAGGTCTAGGGACCAGTCATATGAACTACCTTGTCAAAGTATCTGAAACCTGTTGTATGAACGTGATTTAAACTAATCCTCATAGGAAATTTAAAACTTGTTTGAAGTAGACGCAGTTGGAACTAAATTTTCCAGTCTTTATTTCAGAGCTAATTAAGTGTTATAAAGTTCTTTCTCTTGTTGCAAGAGCCCCCAAACAATTAGACTAGAGCTCCAGTGAGCTAGAGCTTCTGTTTTTTGAGTGACTTTTTCCCTGAAGTTGCAACTTCCATTGATTTGATAGAGTTGACCCAATTGATACAGATTTTGTATCACTATTAAGACATCTTTACAGTGCCTTGTATTTTTTTTTTTATATAAATTTGCGTGGACTTGTTAATTTGTGAATTGCTTACAAACCTGTTGCTGACTACTTCAGAAGTACTAGCAAATGTCTCATAGTTCAGATAAGATAGCTGGAGATCAGTGCAGATACTGTCCTATTCATAAATGTTAGCATTGTTAACTACAGCATGTAGTCTTATCTTTATAATGAATATCATTATTCACATTTAACTGGAGAGTGGTAGTTCTCTTTGTTCACTCACCTGTATTCTTAGGGAAATACACGTCACTTGTAATTTCTTGTAAGTTCCTGTTGGAAGTCAGAATGAATACTTCTTTCCCTAGCATTTCATAACTGCTGCAATCTGTGCTTCAAAGTTATTTGTATGAGATGATTTATCTGTAAATTAGGATACTTGTGTGTCTGCATGTGTTTACATATATGTACTCATGCATCTTATACATATCTGCCATTATTACATTAGTGCTGGTGAGCAGAAAGAGGATTTTGGAATATGTATGTCAGATTAATGCTTAAACTGCATACATCTTAAAATGTTTGAGCCAAATTAACTGTACCATATTGTTAGCTTGTAGCCATTTTGCACTTTGTTGCTAGTATTCAATTAAAACACTTAACTTGCCTGCTCATTGATCCCATGTATTTATACAGAGCTGTGCTCACTTTTAAATTCAGTTTCCTTAGGGAGAATACAAATATTTTTCAATTTTGTTTTGTGAGCCATATGTTCAAGAGCCGCTACTACTTTGCTGTTTCAAATTTCGCCTTTTCCTGCCTTTACACTACTGCAGAAATTCACTAGTACAGTCTAAATACAGCACCATAAATATAGTAACAAAAAGTTTCTAAAGCAATGTAATTTTATCAACTCATATTTAATTAGTTTTATTGTAATATCCCTTAGAGCTCAGCTCTAAATGCGTCCCTTTCTTTATATGTTTTGCGAGTCATCTTTTACAAATGTATTCATTCTTCTTCTCTTAGCTCCAACGTTTTTGTTCTGTTTTGTTTTTAGATGTTTCTGGGCACCAGAAAAGAGTAAAAGACTCTTCATCATATGTTGGCTACTGCTTTCCTTATGTAATATTCAGTTTTGCCCTGTCATGTATTCATATACCCACTTTCATGACTGCTCCCCATTCTACCATTTAATCTTGACTGTGAAGTCTCTAGGGATCAGAGAAAGAGCAAGTAAGACCCGAGGAGCAATTGGGCAAGAGAGGCCAGTAACTTAAATGATGCAGTCAAACTAGATGACAGTTTAAGCCTGCTAGCAGTGGGGGAAGTCTGCAGTGTTTGCTCCAAGGAAAGCAAAGTGAGGAAGTAAGTGTCTTCATTTCATAAAAGAGAGGAAAAGTAGAACTAAGCCTGTGGGAGAAGAAAGAAGTGACAGAATCTGACCTTGTCTTGCCTTTACCTTGATTATATTTGTCTTGAAAGACATAAGTGTTAAAATTCAGTAAATTTAGCCTGGAAAATAACCAAAATTACATAACTGCAACTTCAAGCTTTTTGTCATCTGCAGCTTTTAATTGACGCTTAGCTATCATAGTGACATCTCCAGTGGAAAATTTGAATGCTAAGGAACATAAATCCAGTCTCTTAAGACTCATAAGATGCTAGTCCCGTTTGCCATTAACACATTGTTCAGCAAAACACTTGCTTAACTCAAAACACAGTTTAAATTTTGGTGATGGGGATCCTTTGCAGGCTCAAGTTTTAATACCTCTGGATATCTGTCTGTAAACCTGGCATTTTGGCATTCCCAATCCTCTGCTATCTAAATTATGTTTCTGTAACCACTGAATTTCCAATATGACATGTCGGTGATTGTAGAGTCTGAAGCACTTGTTGTGCAGATCACATTTCCTTTCTGTTGAAGTATTTTCCTGGCCTATAAACTTGAGATATAGGATAGATGTTTTTAATTTCTTATTCCACTGGAACACTGTACCCTGAAATCCAAAGAACTGGTTACCTTCCTGTAGTAGATTTATCAGGTGTCAGCTGGGGCAGCATATTTTTAGTTCCAAACAATACTGTGCTCTGCCTTATTATTTTTGGCATCTTGTTCAATATAATTCCCTTCTCTCTTGTTGCCATTACTTGATATTTTAAATCTTGTAAATATTTTACATACACTCTCATTTACTTTACATATTACTCTCAAGGTTCATTTCAAACTTCTGTGATATATGGCGTATAAGTAAATGACAATAATGGTTTGACATATTTTGGCAAACATTTGTTGGAGCATGGTGAAGGGGAATGCACTATCAAAAATCTCAGTCTTGGTATTACAGAATCCCTGTGGAACAGCTGTATCAAATTCTTCACATTATTTATAACTGAAGCAAAAGTAAATCTCTGCTTGCTCTCATTTTTGTGTTTTGTCCCCTACTCAATCACATTCCAGTTTCCCTCTAGACAAAAAATTTTGTAATCATTAATCAGATGGAAGATCACATACCTTTTTGTAATTAATTTAGATGGTTTTGTAGCTTTTGATAAAACTGTATTTTGCTGAATGTGTGTTCTTGAAGTTAAAATGTTTTACAATTCTCCTAGGTATATAATCTTGGAATTACTGAACTTTGTTTTGCTTCAAACTAAACTTGATCCTCAAAATTTTTGAATGATAAATGAATGTCTTATCCTTGGAAAAATGGTTGCCTGGTTCACAACTGGTATCAAATTTTGTCTTTGGTTTTTCTTCAGCAATATCTCCTCTGGGTAAGATAAGTATTCTTCATCTTCACAAGTATGTAAAGTCTGTTTTTTGATTCCTGAATTCAGCAACACTTCTCAGTTCACTTTTTTTTTTTTTTTTTTTTCCTCCAGGTAATACATATTTAGAAGAAATGGATAAAACTTTAAAAACGACAGTGTTTTTGTTATCTTGCATTTTGAGATTTTATTATTGTTATTTCTGAATAATAAGTTAAAATTGTCTTGGCTTCTTCATGAGCAATTAGGTTGTATATTCTGAGGTAATTAAATATAAAGTGTCCTAAAAATCACCACCCACAGCTTCACCAAAAAATCACCACCTACATTTTATCTGCTGCTGCTGTGAAATGATGTGATCATTTAGTGTTAAAATTAATTTTGAATTGCTATCTTCCTTCTACACTTTCCACTGTGGAGTCTTTTCTTCTTTGGTTGTGATTGTTTCTCTTTCTAAATGTATGATAAACAATTTTCAGTGCAGTCTGAGAGGAAGGCAGAGTCTGGGTCTGCTGGTCAATGAGTGAACACTTGGTCCATTCTTCTTATTGTTCTTTAAAGTTTACTGTGAATAGATGCATTCACTTCAGTATGACCACTCACAACAAAATGTACTTTGTCGTGAAGACTTGTTCCTTCTGGTCAAATATGCTATTTATTGAACATATTGATTTCTAATAGTAAAGGATTCCCAAGTAGTAATTTCAAGTGGTAAATTTTACGCCTGAATAATACCGAAGAAACCAAAAAACATGTCCCTTTTCCTAGGTCAAGGATTTAATTCCAGAACTTATTTTGAAGAAAGTATGGTCCATAAAGACTTCAATATCTATTCATGTTAGTGCTGAAGGAAAAATAAGTACAGCGGTATGCAATGAGTAACATACATGTATTTTCTATGCTATTTCCCACTGGAAAAAAGTGCCTAACACTCTCTGACTTAAAAAAAAAAAAAAAAAAAAAAAAAAAAAAAAGGCAAACAAATCACCACCACCAAAGAAAAAACTCTCTTCCACCTTTTGTTTTTCCCTTTAATTTTAGTTTGGGTGGTATCTCTGATTCTTCTCTCTCAGAGGCCACACAAAGATATAAAACATTGATAACTCCTGCATCCTCCTCCTGCATCCTCCATCACCCTTTAAGAAAGCATAGATACTACCAAGGAAATAAATTTCAAAGTATCAGAAAAAAGAATTAATGTTTATGTGGTTTATTTTTCCCTTGAGTTGATCCATTGTTTCCTGGGATACACATTTTACTTCTCTGCTTTTGTGCATCAGGTCAGTGTTTTGACTTCTCTCTTTCTTCTTTCTTAGTTATTTTAAGCATCCTTCCACTCTTATGGCTTGGAAAACAATGAACCTTTGTTAAAATCTGTCTTTTAAACAAAACCATTATTGCTTTTCTAAGTTGTACTTTATTATTGAGTTTTCTAAGCACTTGCCAGCTCTGTACTAAACTCTTCGGAGGCTTAGTAAACACAGAAATAATAATTATATTAAAACTGGAATTACAGCTGGAGCCGTGAACAGGAAATCCATGCTCAATTGCATTCTTATCCTTGTTTAACGAAAATGAGTTTTGGGAAGTTGGTTATTAACATGGTATTTTAGCATAAATATATGTTATTTGAAATATATATTGGTGAAATATTTACAAGCAATGGTTATGACTACTTAAAATGCAATGAATGCACAAGATCATCTTAAACAAATGGGGCATTGGGATGAGAGCCATGAGAAACTGTTGAAGAAATCTGGAAGCTGAATAGCAAAATCCTTTTAAAACAAGACAAAAAGGAGAGTGAAGCTACCTGCCAAATAGAAAACAGCCTCTCATTGTTTTGTTTTAAATCAAATAGTCAGATAATCACATCAATGAACCAAGTAAGGGAAGATTCATTAAAATAATTAGAGGTATAATGGTGACATTAAGAGAGAGATTCAAATACAGTCCAAACGTGGATAATACAACCCAGAGTCTGAGCAGGGTTGTCACCACTCAATCTAAATAGCACTCTGTGGTGGCCTGCTACAGTGCAGCATTCTTGTACCTGCTGCTTTTCTGCAGGTGAATGATGTGGGCTGATGTTCTGTTGTGCTTGTTTTGACTATTTATGTGCATGCTTACTGATTTGGGGATTTGTATTTTTCACTTTATTGGTGGCCTCACATTCACCTGAATTTTTCACATTTATTTATAAACAAACTGTGTGGCTACAGGACTGGTTATACATGGAATAATTTTTAGAGCATGATTTCAATTTTTCACAGATGCAGAGGAGATAACGGAGTCATTTGGAGGCAACGGGCTGCATCGACTCTCAGCCCCTCAGCAAATCAAAATCTTAATGATCCTCAACTCCTTTGTGAACTTAACTGTGTTTAAAAATGGAGTTAGAGTGCTAGTGCCAGCAGAAGAATGCAGACTATATAAACATAAACTGTCAGTTTTAAGAATGGAAAGTTCCTAATTTGTAGCATATATTTTGATTGTTGCTTTAATCTCAAACTTTGGCATTTTTTTAAATTAATTTCTTCATTCAAACTTTGTTTTTCATTGTGAAATTAATAAGTATTAATAACTACATTACAATCCTTTGAATAATGTTTACAGAATAAAATTATAAACGAGAAAAAGAGAAATTTCCTCCATAAACAAAGGAAAAGGGAATGTCATTATTTTCCTTAATTTTCCTTCAGAGAATAGGTATTCAAGGAGCTACAGTAAGTATGTTTTGTGTTCCAACAATATAGTTGTTCTAAAATTCTGTATGTAATTTATGAATGAATCAATATATACTTCTTTAGACACTCGCCTTCTTAGCTACTGTACTCCTGAAGTATCAGGCATGCGTTTAATTTGCTGAATATGTGGGACGTACAGTATAATGACATGAAATGTGTCTCTTGCCAGACAAAGTTAATGCCAGACAATTGCACTTATGCTTATGAACCTAATTTTATTGAAAGAATATTCTTTATATTAATTCAATAAAGACTAATGGGCCTGTTAAAATTAGTTACTTTCAAAAGAGTGTATTTATTGCCATAAACATCCGTGCTTTCTCCAGGAGTTGAGGAAAGCTGATGGTCTTACTTATCTCCACAGAAAGAGTCTTGGCTGCAAAATTGTTCTCATTACACACACAACTCCCTAGACAAGTTTTGTAGAACTGTATGAAATCATTCACGTGATTTCAATTTATGGTGTAACTGTGTGCCAGAGCCTTTGAGCCTTGGCTCAGTGTGAGTACAACACAGGTTATGATAGGGCAGTATAAATGAAAAACACTTGACCATTACACAAAGGATACAGATAGTGTTGTTCTGTATCAAGTTGTATACTGTTCAGTAGTTTGGAAAGTCTATTACACTAGTTACAAATGCTGTTCCGGGACATTCATCACATGGTCTTGAACAAACATGGAGAAATAACCGCTTGTTTATTATACACTGGATTCTCAAGACAACAGCCCTTTCCCTATCTAGGGGAATGCATTTTCAAAGCAATATTGATTTTTCTATCATTCTTTTCTCTCCTCTCTCCTTAAGATCCTGGTTTTAGAATTATCTTTCGTCCTTAAATTGTTTGTCTTCTAAGACACGAATGTGTTTAGTCTCTTTTTTTTAAACAAACTTGAATTCACGGAAGATAATGTATAAGTGATATGATGGCCTATGTACATGGTAAGAAAGTAATTTTACTGGTTCTTGCAAGACACATACCATTTCAGACTTATGTCATAGAGCTGGAGGAATCTGTAAAGAGAGGTGATTTATTTCAAATGTTACTCAAGATCTGTTAATCAGGCAAAAACCTTCTGAATCAAAAGTTCTCTTGAAAATCAAACCTTGGCTTGATTTGCTGTCACTGCTGTGTCTCAGTTCTTAGTAAAAAAATAAAATGGCTGCCAGAATGAAAATGCAAAGCTAATAAGCAATATTATTTACAGTTTTAAGACGAGGAGGAAGCCTGGTAGGAAAGTAGCTACTCGTCTGTCTATTCATGAAAACTCAGGTAGATGTATTCCCCATGCAGTATATAAGGAAAAATAAAAAATAAAAATAAAAAATTCAAGAGGAGCTTGCAGTCCGCTGCCTTCTGTGCAGAGAGACCTTTGACCAAAGTACTGAAGCTCAGTCCCCTTGAAAATGTTTTGATATAACACTGGCCTTTACCAGATAATCTTAAATGTTTTTTGAACAATATTGCTGTAAATGTGCTTTATAGAGCAAACAGATTTTTAGTAACCTCTTCTGTGGGTAGTGATTCAGTTGAGACTTAACTATTTATATATTTGAAACTTTTTCCTTTATCCCAGCCTCTTTCGAATGCTTCTCCTGTAGTCCCAATATAAACTTATGGACAACAATTCTTTTAAATTCAAAAGATGTCATGCCTATATATTCCTAGTACAAAAAATCTTTTTATTTTCCTCAAAATATATTCACATAAATTTAACTTTTCCATGAGAACTCTCTGTAGACAAATATATGTTAAAATATTAGGATAATGTCAACTTCAATCTTAACTTTGTTTCCTTTAGATTCTGATGCTTTTTTTGTTCTTGTCACTAATCTTTTATTTATTTAGCTAGTTAAAATTTTACCTTCCTAACATGTTTACAAAATAGATGCATGGAAACTGAATAGGATTATTTAGCATGTTCCAGTGGTAAGTTTTTTTTTTTGTTTTTTTTTTTTACCAAATATCCTATGTGAAGTTTGTTATACTTGTAAACATGACCTTTCTTATTTGTAAATGCTAATTGCTCTGTAACATATTCTGAAAACCCTGACCACTACATCAGAAGTATAAATAAAAAGAATTGTTCTCTGAACTACATATGTGTATTCATAGAACAACTTATAAATTATGACTTATGCTTGATCATAGCCTTTGTAATTAGAAACATACTGCATCTGTTTAACATTGCTACTGTTTTGTTGCAAAAGATTTTCTGTATCAATTAATCTAGTAATATCCCTAAGCAAGCTGAAATTGTTGAAGAAGATGGAAATTGGCTGATGAATGTATTGGTCACTTTAGAGCCATGTTCAAATCTATCTTCTTGCTGTCCTAATGAATATGGAAGCCTGCCCAGTGTGTGATTGGATTTTAATGACTACAAGGTCAGGGACTTTGCAAGGTGTGAATCTGCTTGCAAGGTCACTAGTGGCAAACAGTGCATGGATCTGAAAATAAACAAGGAGCTGTCAGGGATATTAGCTTTTTGTAGAAAAACCCTTGGGATGAAAAGGTTAACAGGTGATTGCATTGTAACTTGTTTTGAAACTCAAAATGAGCTCTAAAGGTACGTGCATTATCCTTCATTATACGTTGCATAAGAAATAGTAGCAATTTAAAATGCAGGCAATGTTTGATTATAATAGTACCCTAGCTTATCAAAAGCTTGCATTTACCACTCTATATAAACTGGTCCACAAAATCAACACATGTTCCAGAAGCAGGCCTTCTGGAGACGCAGGTGAAATTACCTGGTCTAAACTGCCCATGGTTGCATAAGAATACTTGCTTCCCATAGGGAACCCAGGCTAGCAGTTACCCATAGAAATTCAGGTCACATGTACAGCAGTTATATCCTTTATTAATTTGCTATTCTGGAGGATTGTTCAAGCTGTAGGAAAAAAAAAAAAAAAAAAAAAAAAAAAAAGGAAATGAGTTTGAAAGTATTAAGAAAGTTTATAAATTACTTGTCATAAGGTACTTGACTTATGATAGAACAGCACTGAAATGACTCCTACATGAGGAAAATGCAAAGAAAATCTGCAGTGGTGGAGAACTTCAGAGGTGAAGTTCTTTCCTGACACTGTTTTTACTTCTTTCTCTCTTTCTCTCTTTCAATAAAAAGTTAATTTACTAAGTAGAAAAATCAGAGCTGTTGAACCATTTTCCCTGATTGCTTGTGGCATTGAGTAGATTCATGAATATGTTCAGGCATGGCTACCAAGTTTGCTGTTTCTTTCAAACTACTTATACCTATGGAAGGATTCATCTGATGTGCAACTTGAAGTGACAGTTTAAAAGAATGGTATAGAATGGGGTTAGGCATCGGTTGTTCTGTGTCATGGGGAAGTCTTTCAGCTTAGTGGTAGAGGAGCCAGGAAAAATACAAGTACCCTTCACCCTTGGGAGAAAAAAAAAAAAAAAAAAAAAAAAAAAACTTTCCTGCAATCTGAAGGGGTTTTGTCATTTCCTCTTTTTTTCATGGGCAGTGTATACATGCATATATACTTTTTTGGATGGAGTTACTTCTATGTCTTCTGTTCCCCATCTGTAGATGGAATGCCTGTACAATAACTGCTAATAGTGCCTCAGCTTGAATGGATCTGTGTGATCAGTCATGGTTTTATGACTAAGCTAAATATCAATGATACTTTTTAAAAATTATTATTCAGGACAAGAACCTTTAAAACAGATACTGTACTTTAGCTAATGCTGTAAGAGTAGTAAATAACCTTAATGCAGCTGCACATTCAATTGCCAGCTAAATTCTGCATTTAAAACAAGGGCTTAGATTATTTGCTGTAAATGAAAAAATAGGCTATGTATTTATTCATATATTTAGTCTTACATATATGTATGTCATATATGTAGCCTCAAATATTTAGTCTTTGCATGCTTCATGATTTTACACAGCCAATAGTGCAGTGTCACAGAAAAAAATATAGCAGAAGAATTTGGTCAAGGTAGAAGACTTAGCTGGTTCTGAACTCACCCTGTATGTGTTTACTGCAGTCATTTATAGTATGTGACCCTTCCTTTCATTTCACTCCCCTTAATGCATAAGCTTATGTTTGTATTTCTGTTGTATTAGGGGCAAGGAGAAAAGTGCTTCATTTTCTCTTACTTAAGAGTACAGTGCATAGAATCCCGTAATCTTTCTGCATTCTAACTGGGCAACCAGAAAGAGAAGGCATCAACTATATTTTCTGAAAAAAGAATTTCAGTTTAAATTTATTTCTTTACAATAAACTGAAAATGTTAGCGTTCAATATTCTTTTAAAATGTCTAGTTTACAGTACTTTGAAAAAGATAAAGTTGAAAGTAGTGGTCTATTGTAGTTTTAGTAGTAAAAACAGTAAAGCCTGTTAACGCAATGAGTTTTACCTTTGGAAGGTGCTTTGTTTAATGCGTAATTTTAATGATTATAGTAGCTGAATGTTTATTCTTAGACTTAACATTGACAAACATTGTTGTGTATAATCTGTAAAGATTTTGTAGGAATATAAACAGAACATTTTGGTACCTACTTCATTCAAAGCTGCTGCAGGCATACCTATGTGGTTCTGAAAAGTGTTACTTAAGGAAAAAAATCACAAGATGATATCTGTTTCTTAGTTACTGTTCTAAAATGTTAATTTTCAAACCAATGTCACATGCTAATGTCCATGTATATATGAAATTTACAATTCTCAGTTATTTCCATTTTGGTGTTTTGGATTTTTAAGTCTCTAAATTGTAGGCAAGTTTGACAGTCTCTTCTACACTGGTAGATTCTGCTCTTGGCTTCTGTATTACTTCATATACAAATACACTGACAGTAAATTTAGTGTCCAAGTCCACTCCTGCTCTTCTGCCCTTCTTGCTCTTGTAATGTTTTCTTATACCTCATTCTAGATATGTTTCAATGTGTCTTTAAATTTTACTTATTTTAACAACAGATTGGTCAAAACTTTCTACATTTAATCTTTTTTCCCACTGATTGTCTATGCACTTCAATTGTAATAGTAAAATGCCTGAAATTCCAGATGTTTAGTCAGGTTTGATAAAAACAAAATCTTGATTTTTTTTTTTTTTTTGAACAAACTGTTATCCTTTTGGGTAATTGTCTGTTTTATCTCATCTAATACTGAATTCTAGAATCATTCTTATTTCAGTTGCTCTATTTAAGGGACACACATCAATGCTTAGTGAATGGTATAACTGTAATGCTGAGTCATATTTTTAAGTTCTAAACCACCAGATTTGCAGTAACT